TTTGTGGATTGGTGCTAGGCTAAGGGCAATTAGATTTAACATCTCTGGAAGCTCCAAAGGCATTTTAAAGGACTCAGTCTTTTGTTCCAAGTCTAGCTCTCAAAGAGACTGAGACATTTTTGGAATGAGTTTTGATGGACTTGTATGAAAATTTATGTGACTAAGAATTGGATTTGTTCCTCTGGAATATTACAGATTATTTTTATGTTGGAATTACATAAGTGTGCAGAGCTTCATACAGTTGGCTTAATGTAGCTAAAAATATACCTCGTGCTTTCCATTTGGAAGGTAGCTGAAATTTTCCAGTTTCCCCCCTCATTTAACCATGATTTTATGGTGTGTATGGGTTATAGATGATAGGAAACTCTGAATTATATAATAAAGCGAGGGTTTGAAGATGGATTAATAGTTGATTATATCACTGGGGAGATGAATGTTGATGTGTGTTTTTCTGCGTTTCTGATTTTTAAACTCAACTGAAATGATATATTCACAGAATATTTTTTTTTTTCAAAAGGATCTATATGCAAACTAGGACATTACTGGGCAGCTCATAAAATATGATAATGAAAGAGGAAGCAGGAAACCATAAGAATGACTGAAAAGGTCTGGTTTTGCTCATTCTTCTCCAGTGCATAACACAGCACATTGATCTCTAGTGTGATACAATAGGGTAGAGATTATGCAGCCAAGTGGATTTAGTACCTAGAACTATTGTTCTAAATTACAGACCACTTGCAATCTTTGCTATTGCCTAAAGCAATTGATATCCATTACACATGTAAAAACTTCCCCGGTGTCTGTCTGTCTGTCTGTCTGGAATGTATTTTTAGTAGGCTTGACCGACTGGGTCATTTTTTTTTGGCAAAGCCAAAAGATTTAATGGAGTCTCTCCAATCAGTTCTCAAGAGAGAGAAATTACGTGAAATCCTGCCTTTTTCTAAAATTAAAAAAATGGACATTTTGATATACTTCCATTCTGCCATACAATTCCAACTGTTTTGTTTTTGCCTCAACACAGAAGAAAAATATAGTTCAGCACCTTAAAAGTTGTCACAAAACAAAATTGTTCTCAATATTTACCGTATGTGTGTATTACTATATCAATCAATCATGAAGATTATGACTTTGAGGAGATGATGGATGCACAAATTTCTGGGATTAGGATGAACAGAGAATATTCCTATTAATTAGCTGTGCTCTTATTACTAACTACAGCAGGTATGGTATAAAAAGGGAAGCATTAACAGGGTGTTTTAGTGTGAGAGTTTTAAATGTGTATAAGATGAAACCTATTTTTACACCATGAAATGAAAATCTCTGCTCCTTCTCCCCGTCCCCCCCGTTCTGCCTTTCCTAAGATGGACGCCACTTTAGCTATAGAATTTTTTCATATTTATATTAGATTTAAATTCTGTCCTTTCTCAGCTGTGCTGTGCTAATGGAATCCACTCTTGCTCTTTGTACAGTTGATCTAATAATATTTTCCTTTCTGTTCTCTGCCATTATTTTTATTTCTTAGAAAAACATGGCAAAGTTGGCAATATAGATTCTGTACACACTTTAATGACATTGACAGTAATTTTCTTCTGCACTTATATGATTCTTTTTCCTTTTGTGTCATGTTCATTTTAATATAATGCTTCTTGGGGATGAGCCTAAATTGCAAGATTCTCTAATAACGTAGCATAGTTTTTCAATATTACTTTGTCACTAAGGTGTTCTGTTCTGGCAGGCCACCATCTAAAGGTTTGTACAACACTTGATTTTTAGTGTTATAAAATACAACATGATCTAGTGGGCATTGAATAAGACTAGAAATTCAGAATCCAGATTTCTCTGGCAATATTTGTGCGTCTCTTTCCCCAGCTGCACAACAGGGATGTTGAGGGTTGTTCACCTTTGCAAAGCAGTTTGGCATCTGCTAATAAACTCTGGTATATGAATTCCATTTTGTGTCCCTATTTACACCCATGCATTAGGTTTAATGGAAAGGGGGCAAGCTTGGTCATTCATTTTAAGAATTATCCTTATTTTTATTTCAAAGTGGTTACAAGACACCAGCTGATAACTCTGGAGAACAAAGTCCTTTATCAACATAGCACATGAAGCACAGGAACTGTTTTTTTCAATTGTGCCTAAACCCTGTAGATAAGTTGCTTTGGGGGCAGGAAAGGCTCCGTTTACATTGAATCCTTGGCATCTTTTCTGGAAGGAGAAGGAAGCAGACAATCATAGGGTGCTTTTTGTGCTGGGGCACATGTTCATCAGCAGTTGACGTGGACCTACCACCTCATTTTCCATAGGCCATGGAGCACGCACCAGATGGCAATAAGTCTGACCCCTGGGCCGCAAAAGGAAATCTAGGATTAGGGTGTAGGATAAATTATGGGTATTTTGCCTTTAATTCTTATGTCATATTTATCTATACTGGATATTAAGATAATGTACAATTTCTGGAACGAGGTCTGCCTTAATAGTAGTGCTATTGTGATTTATATTAGAAGAATGCCTGAAGGTCCCAATCCATTTGATGTTCCTATAATAAGAAACTTGCTTTGAGAGCGAGAAGTCTAAACTGCACTTGATACAGGGTAAAATGTAGGCAGTAGACATCAAAGACCCAACTTCTTTGGTTTATTTAAAAAAAAAAAATGTAGTTCTCTTACTTAATATATTGGCATAGCAATAGAGGAATATAACTCCAAATATTTTCCATGGCATATTCCATGTTTTGCTCTATTTCGGATAGCAGAGTCCCATCATCATGCATGATGTTGGTCATTTTGGTAAAATTAAGCATGTCTGAGAGGGTATCAACTTTCCCAGAGCTCCAGGGCAAGTAAAAGAGTCAAGAAAGTAGCATGTGCTCCTTGAGAGGTACCTATGTACCTTGAGAGTTTTATGGGCTGAGCAAATTCCCCGAATAATTTACAATATAATCTATGCTGTGTTTGTCTTGTGGGGTGCAAAGATACTTCCTCCTTGGGAATGATCCAGAGTAATGAAGCTCCTGAATGTGTTCTTGAATTCCACTTCCCATTGTTTTAACACCTTCACTGAGATGTGGATTACAGCATGAAGACAATAGGACACCTGAGCCCAGTTTTACAAAGCCCCACACATGGGGGGCCCCAGCCTTGCTTTGTGATGCATGTGCCTTTGAGTAGTCCCATGGTGGTCAATATGGCTGAGCTGTTCCTGTGTGTATTATATTGCTTATGCTTGTTGAAATCAGTTAGACTGACGCATACTGTAACTGCTCTTGTGCAAAGGGGTTGAAGGATCCAGCCTTTTCTTGCTAAATCCCTCCCACCCCATTATCCTGCTCAAAGTCTACCCCACAGTAGCGCATCTGGCTCAAGCAAAATGTCTGTGAGGTTTGGTTGGCGCTCTGTCCTCTCATGCATCTCAGGACTTCAGACCCAGTGCTGAGATGCTGGAACTCAGTGCAGCTGCTTTGAAGCTTAGCTGATTTATACCATCTGAAGGGCTTGCCCTTCCTACCATCTACACTTTCTGAACTGATTCCTATTTTGGATGCTGTGGGATTTTTTTTTTTTTCTCCTGAAATTGGTAGGAGATCTTGCGTGGAGATCTGTTGGTGCACATGGAAAGTAAACACTGCCTAGAGCAGGCCAGCTTTCATTAACCTCTCACTGGGCACATCTACACGTTCATTAATGCTCCGTAATTATGGCACTACCTATAATAACAGGTACTAACTTAATTGGCGATACTGCGCAGTAGCGCTGGTGCACTTTTTTATGATGCTAATGCACAGTAGACTCATTCTACTGCGCATTAGCACAGTTGTTACTGCACATTAGTGTGGCAGGCAGAATTAGTCTACCGGGCCTCTAGCAGCTCATGTAGATGCACCCAACATGAACAAACAACTTTCATATTTTCTTTTTTAGCCCCTGTGTGGATTCCCCATCCCTTGGAGCTGAATTTGCATTCTTCTGTTGTAATGCATGTTCATTTTTTATTAATTATCAGACCCACTATCAGAAAGCAAAGATTATAGAGGCGATTTAGGGGCTAAACTAAACACGGTCAGGATCAATATTGTTGTTTTTTTTTTTTTAATCTCTTGAGCACTGGTAGAAATGTCTGGTTTCTGATGCTGGGAGAGATCGCACTGTTCTGCTCTTTATAAAAATCATATGACCGAAAACTGGGCCAAAGACAAAGAGTTATTGGCTATCTGTAGGGTATTTCTCCCCTAGCATTGAGCACTCGGTTTCCATTAATGCTAATTATAGTTAAGGAGCTCTTTCCTACAACTAATGAATGATACGTACAGCCTGTTATTACATAACACACACACACACACACACAGAGTAATATGCTCTCGAATTGCTGTACCCTGTTAAAATGCATCCTCTTCAAAATTCACTGGAGATTTTTTTTTTTTTTTTAGAGACATTTGCTGTAATTACCACTAGCACAGTTTCTAATTCATTTAATTTTCTTTTCTACCTAAACTGAGCACATAAGTATGTTTTAAGAGATTGAATAAATAAATTTTTAATTATAAAATGATGTTATATCATACATTATTAATAATAACCAACAATGTGTAATACATGATTATGTATGAATCCATTAGGAAGATGAGCTAATATATATCAATCCTAAAAGAATGGTCTAATTTGTCCTATGTTTGTGGATCGGGGGAATCCACGGTGGATGCAATAAGAGAGGTTTATAAAAATGGAAGATTGACACTGGGCAAAGCATTTAGCACGCTTGGTCCTTAGGAATTTTGTTTTCATGTATTGTGAAGTAGGAGGCAGGTTTTTATTCCTTATTGGCTTCTGCAGGTTCTGAAATTATAAACAGAATTTTCTTTGGGAACGTTATATTGTATTTCCAAGGGGATGCAGCATAATGCATACAACCCCGGTTAGCAAACGCTGAAAAATCATAGATCCTTTGTACCGTGCCTGTTTCCCTTCAGACAGTTTTGTGGAAATTCTGTCAATTGTTTTCTATTAGCGATAACAGACTTCAGAAATCTCCAAGGCAAGTTCCAGGCATTCGCCAGTCTCGTGGCAGGATTCAAAAATGCTGCAATCAATATCACAGTCACAATTGCAGTCGTTGTTGCTGTGGTTTTCATTGGAGGTCTGGTAATACCTGTTGGATGGGCAGCATGTGTTTGTCAACCAGTTTTCACAGGTGTCAGGCAGCATTATAAGAAAGTCCCAAAATTGGCAGAACAAGCAGGCCAGGATAAGTGTTGCACATTCATCTAAGAGAAACAAAAAGTAGAGAGAGGCAATTTAAAAACAAGAAGATTTGAGTCATTATTCCGGATTTAAGGTTGCGTGACCGTAATCAGAACGATGCACAGAAGGAAGAAATGTTGCAAAATACAAGCAAAGGTTGACGTATCATTTTGAAAACTGCACCGGTAACAATATTAAACAAAATGATTTATTGTGGTGCCTGGGCCGGGTAGAAGAATATCCTGATGTTTTCAGTGAAAATCTTCAGTGCAAATGAAACCCAGTTTTGTATCGGGCCTCCACGTCCTTGTTGGGGCTTTGGCCCTCCTGGTTTCTGCCCCTTTTCTCTCTAGCTGGGTCCGTAGCCCAAGGTCCACTATTTTGGACCTCAACTTGTGGGACCCAGCCTTTGTTTCACCTATCCCGGGTTGGCCCTCTCTGCTTCAGGCTGCTTTTGGTGTTTTCCCTGCTCCAGGCCATGGCCCTCCTGGCTTCAGCCTGCCTCTGCTCTCCCCTGTGAGCTCTGGGGTCCTGGCCCTGGTCTTGCCTTACTTGGGCAATGGGCTGTGACCCTCCTGGCTCCAGCCCACCTCTTTCTGCCCCCTCTCAGGCTATTGGCCCATGCGGCCTGAACTACTCATTACTAATGCCCCCCATCAGGGCTTCAGACTCAGCGAGCCACTCGGGCACCCCACTGTGGCTCGCACCCCTGCCCCCTGGAAGGTTCAAGTCTGAGGTGTGCCGCTCACGTCGCCCCTGTGGCTTAACCCTGGTGCACGCTCAGGCACCCCACTGGCCTCCTCATCGCCCCTTGCAGTCTCCCCCAGTCCACCGGTTAAACTGGAAGCAAAAAGGCCAGTTCCCACTGGAACAAAACTTTCCCTGCTCAGGCAAAACTTTTAAATTAGATCAACATGCACACTACTGCTTTAAACAAAAACCCTCCCTGCACTGGGTAAATAAGCACTGGAGCAGCCCTCAGCCCCTGGGGCTCTCCTTTCTCGGCTCATGGAGGATCTAGCCTCTGTCCCTTAGCCGGTCTCTTTGGAGAGCTCCATCCCCTTCCTGCACTGCTCCTTCCAGGCCGCTGGCTTATCTAGCCCTGGGGCGCTGCCCTACCTGGGCCAAGCGCATTGGTGATGCGTAGGGGGTGCACACGCACCCCATGAGCATGGCAGTGCACCCCTGGGAAAAGGCACCACCAACACTGCCGGCAGCGCCTGCGGGCAGTTGCTGCTTGCCGCCCCCCGCCGCCAACAGCACCATGGCTATCGTTGCCATGCTCCCGCCACCAGCAGCGCCACCACCGCCTGCAGGAGCCTGCCATGACCCCCCAGCCTCTGGGGGCATGCGGCATTCATGGTCATGCGACTCCCTAGCCCACACAGCAGTTCCCTTTTTAATCTAAAGGACAGCTCATTTTTCCCCATCTCAGTTTAGGTCTGCTACGTGCAATCTCTTGCCCCAGCTCTGTATCTGTCTACACAGGAGGCCAGTGTTTCCTCCCATTTTTAGTAACGGGAGCCTCAGGCTCCTCATTACAGGGACTTATGGACTACAGGTCTCTTTAGCTGGTCCTCCGCATAGGAATGCATTTCACTCAGGGAAGAGATTCTGCACTGCGTTCTTGCAAAAAACCGTTAAGCATGGCTTCAGCGTGATGATGGGAACATGACATCTGCAGAGGCTACAGAGTAGTAGATTTCAACTTTTCATACAAGAATTTGCAATTATACATAGAAATTCTCAGAGGCAATTTGGCAAACTCTATGCAGAGAGAACTTCCTGTGGGAATTTTTTCGCCTACAAGTCAAGATTTCAGGATTGTGCCCTTCGTATTTAACTAATACCCCTCTGGGTTGTCAGCACTTCATGGTCTGAACCAATGCTCATGTCAGTCAAGAGGAAAAAAAAAACAACCCCATGCACTTCAACAGTGTTGGTTTAGGCTCTAAAAGTCTTCTAAGCGCTTAGTTATGAGTTTTTCATAAGGAAAAGGTCAGTTTGGACTCATAAGAGTCTGTATATCTGATTCATAAAATTAGACATGGCAAATAGATGAGAATTTAAATGAGCTGAGAGGTGAGAGCAGAGCTCACTTGTGGAACGGGGAAATTCAGCACAGATTCATCATCTGCTTATAGTTTGATTTTATAAGGAGTCTAATTCAATAAAATGTTTAATAAGCGCTCGTTTGCCACGTTTGCCAAAGCAGTGGAGGAAAAGGAACTGTACAGGAGAAAGTGTATGTAGCGCAGCATGTGTCTGCTCAGGCCCCTGTGCTCAGAGCTCAACCTCCCTCTGAAATGGGCTTTTCACCTCCTTAATCAGGTACCTGTTAATTTTTTAAAAGGAGAGAAAAATGTGGGGAAAAAAAATATCAACCAGGAACGATACTTTAGAAGGAAGCCTTTCTGTTTCCAGCACTGAGTTAGGTACACACTTTCTTACACGTTAGTATGCATCAGCCCCAGCAAGTCTAGCTCATGACTAGTGTAATTGTCCCATAATGCTGCAGGTGCTTTGGCAATCATTTCGTACTTGCAGCATATATAATGTCCCCTATATGGCTGCTATAATATGATCCCTCAGGGGTTGATTGTAAAAAAGCTCTCCACACCCACAATTGGAGCCAGAGTTTTTAGCAGCCAAGCTTCCATTTAGGTACCAAGAGTTTCTGTGCCCTTAGCAACTACCGTTGTTTCCATCTCCTTCAGCTGGAGCTGCTGGGAGCCCTTCAGAAAAATTGACCACTTGTTTGAGTGCTGCCCTCATCTGTCCCTAGCCCAGCTGTTCAAACGTTCAAAAAGCCGGAGCCTGAATTGATTCAATCTTTGCAGGTTAGTCTAACCTGCAGAGATTGAACTGATTTGCAAGTGGATAGACATTCGCTTTCCATTCCAGAAATACAGGGACATGCTTGCAGTGGGTCAGGCCAGAAGCCCAGGAGCACCAGCGGGCCCAGTAGCTGCCCACCACGGGGCCTTGCTGCAGATGTGCAGGTGGGACAGGGAATAATCTCCCTCTGTGCTCTCACTCCCTGGGGCACCCTGATGGAGGCTGCTGCCCCCTCCCCCTCCTCCTCACTGCTCCAGCGGCAGAGGTCAGGGCACGGCCCCATTAAGAGGAAGGTGGGAGGAAGGGGCTTAATTCCTCCCTCCATCCCTTCTGGCCCTCGGGATGTAGCTGGGGTCTGCCAGCCCTGGCCACTGCCTCCGCCTTGGCTGCTCACTCGCAGACAGGCAGACCCCGGCTGCGGTGGGGTGGGAGGGGAAGGAGGGAAGAATGAATCCCTTTCCTGCCCACTTTGCCTTAATGGGACCATGCCAGGACACATCTGACCATGTCCCTGCCCCTGCTCAGGTTAGAGAGCAGAGGGGCGGGGTCAGCCCTGCTCTTTGGAGCAGCCAGCACAGTCCAGTCTGGGGCTGTGAAGCATTCTGGGATGCCGGAGGACTATGGTTTAACTTAAACCAGGAAGGGGTCTAGGACAGAAGTTGCATAAACCGGTTTGACCCAAATCAGTTAAGTTTGATATTACTCTCAACCATGTTTATCTTAAATCAATGTCAGCCATTTTGAAACTGGTTTATGTGCACTGAACTTCTGTTCTGTTACAGGTTTAAACCAGCTTCTGACCAGTTAAACTGGTTTATCTGTAACTTCTGTCTCTAGTCCTGGACTGTGTTCCCCCTCCATGTGTCCAATATTTGGGACTTTCCTCTATTTTACATATAGAAACCGGGAACATAGCCACCACTACGCTACTCTCCATTCTTTGCTGCTCAGCGAAGGTGGGCGTCTCAAATCTTTAAGTAGTCCTTTCAAGTTTGTCAGACTTCCCTCAGGATTTGTCCTAAGGTTTGCTAGGAAACCTGCTCACATGAGGTTCGAAGGTGCGAAACATATTGAAGGATGCAGCCTGCAGAAATACCCATATATAGATTCCAATCTTATGAACGGAGAAACCCTGGCTTCGTGCTGTGTTTTCCCACTGATTTCAGTGGACCCAGAATTCAGTCTATAAATTGTACTCTGAGGGCCTGATCCTGTGCTTTATCCAGATTATATGAAAGGACCAAATCAAATGATTCAGGCTCAAATCGTCTCAACATCTCATTTTCTAATTAGGAAACTATGCATCATTTTGAATTGGTTGTAGCTTAACTAGATGGACTGGGAAAATGTCATGCATATAAGACCCGAAAAGAAGTCTTCAACAATGAACATTTCTTCCCGTGGTACTTTCAAAAAAACCTATAAATGTTCCCATATTCCTTGTCAAATTATTGTGAAATAACTTATTCGACTGCATTGATTCTAACGTGACATTTTGTATAGCATGTAAAAAAGTTTACTGGTAGAAGTTTCCAGAATAATTTTTTAAAAAGGCTTCCATTATAAAAAACTGAAAACCAAAAAACCCCAAGAAAAGCACCCCCCCCCCCCCAACCCCTTTTTTAATTTTTTTTTTTTTTTTTTTTTTTATCGCGGCAGGTACAAGAGTAAATAACGTGATTGAATTTCTTTCTGTAAGTAATGTATCACCAGCAATGTTATCAATTTTAATACTTATTTAAATATGTCAAGATCTATTTAAGTTCAGACAAGCACAACTAACTTCCAAGTCAGTTCTTTAGAATGAGAATGACTAGATTTTGGTGATACTTAGTAAATTCATGCTTATATTTTTTTCTGAGTAAATGAACTGAAATAATTATAAAATTGAAACATTTTATAAGGTGACACTGCTGCATTTAATTGTATGAAATTTACAGTGTAGAAAATGTAATCATTTTATCCAGCAGTCCATGGTGTAATTAAGACTATTCTTTTTGGGTATCTTATATTTATTAAATTCTCCCCTTACATCTAGGTAAGATATATCAAATTCAAAATTATACATCAATTAGGGATCTTTTCAGTTTTTTTTTCTTTAAAGATCTGTTTCTTAATAACACTCATTTCCCAGGTTTTATTAACCTTAGTGATGCTCACATAATTTTAAGAGAATAGATGTAGTTCTTTGGGCTTTATCCAGGAAAAGGAGCACACAAAAAGCACAAGATTTTAATAATAAAGTAATGTTTCAGCACATAGTCTGTGATGTGCAGTAAAGATGCTTTTAAATTCCCATCAGAGCACACACCATGAACTGTGCTAATGGATGTAACACATTTTGCAAAATCTGCGTGTGTGAGGCTTTTTTGTCCTGTTTTAAGTGAGGTAATGTATATAAATAATAGATATTAGCAATTAAGCATCCATTCCTATGCGTTCATTTATATATTTGAAAATAAATTAGCCACAAACTGCATAAAAGAAGATGCCATCTCCTGTTTTCTCTTCTGTTTCTCCTGCTGTTTGCGAAAGGCATTATTGCATTTATCTCAGTGAGAACAATTGCCTTGCCTCTCAATCTCCACATTATTAGATTAATTACCACAAAAGAACTATTTTTAATAATGTTGTGGGTCTGCCTTTTCTCTAAATTTACTTGCTTTCGGGGGCCTTTGGCAGTCAATTTGCTCTTCTCGCACACTGCTAAGCCTCAGTACGAGCCTGCTCCGAAGCCCATGCAAGTCTGGGCATCTTCTCCATAGAGCGCAATAGACTTTGGTTCAGACCTTCTCAGAGTAGTTTCTATAAAATAAGCCAAATTGTCTCAGTTTTAGATTTGCGTAGCCCAAACAGCCTCAGGCGATTTAGTTTTTTGGAGAGGTTTGCCTCGGTTGATTCCGAGAACCCGTTTTCGCCGTGTACGTGCGAAATAAACAGCTACAGTAACTCGTCAGGATAGATCGAACGGAGCATGCGGTGACAACCACAAATCTGGGTTTGCTTGGTGTTCTTGGCTTACATCCAGCCCTTAACATTATTAATTGAGCACAGATTGTTTTTGTTAATTCCCTTTGCTTTTATTTTTTTTTAACAGTGTGAAATCTGTTGTTTACATCGCGGGGCACACACCTGTGTGCCATTAACCATTTGTGGGCCCGCTCCTACCGTCGTCACACCGGCAAAGCACCCATATGCGTCTGGCCTGCCAGAACGTGCGTTAATAAAATAATGACTCCATTTCCTTTATTGAGATCAAATGCATTCTAGTATCTCTGGAAGTACATGAAGCACTCCTATTATTACAAGATCAGTGATACAATAGCTTATAATGGTTCCTTTGGAGCAATGTGGTTTATTGTGTTGATCTGTATTTAGCAGTTCTTAATTCAAGGGTCATTAACATGATATAGATGATATGTTTCAACTGTATTGGATACAATACACTCTGGTGCTTTGTTATAAAATGCACACTAAGTCCATGGAATAAGAGCATCATTGCAGTGTTTTCTGTCTATAAGTACTCAGGAGTAGAGTCTCGGCTACTGTAAATCATCCTAAATGCATTAATTCAGTTGAATGATGCTGGTTTACACCAGATTAAGATATGGCTCCTGGTCTGTAAGAAGTTTCCCCACGTAGGCATTCTTTGCATGGCAAAACTAATAGGAAATTCTTAAGAACAGTAATTATTGTGTTGGCACATTAACTACTTTTCTCTAATGCAAAGGAAAGAAATGACTTGTTTTGTCCATTTTGAGGACAAACAATCCTAACAGTGAAATACCATAGCTCCTTTTAGAAAGCGCAGGCATTTTTAAACAGATTGGCCAATCCATATATGCAGAAGCCATGAAGTTCCTATAACCACATTTTGCACCCTTTTGCTTTCCAGATAAGTTTTAAAAGGTTGTGTGGCATGCTAATGGAGACAGTAGTATTCTGTGCACACAAAGTCATATCATCTGACAAAGCCATAAAAAAGGCCCAAAGACATTGTTCACTTAGGCCCAGCACCGCGTGTCTAAGTTTTAAGCACACGAACAGGCGCACTGAAGTCAACGAGACTACTCTCATGCTTACAGTTAGATAAGTGTTTAATGAGTGAATTAGCAAAAGTAGGATGCTGGATTCTGCATAAGGAAGGGTAGGTATAAAGGTGACTCTGCTCCACTGTAAGACTTAGCATCAGGTTTGGAGAGGTTAGATTTGGGTTTGGAGGACAGTCAGGCTTGTGGTTGAGGGTGCAATGACTATGGCCAAAACCAGAAAGCATAGGAAGGGTTCACAGACCATGGGTGCTTCTGCTGTTTGGGGAGGAGGATTCTGTTCCTCCGATACCTACAGAGTTATCCCTGTGCAAACACAGTTTACTATGGCATATACACATGTCTATACATATCTCCCCTGGTCTTAACCTCTCCAGTTTTGGTTCAGCAATAAGACCCCTTATCTCTTTGCTACTTCAAAGCAATCCTCCACAAATGGTCAGCAACACAGGAATGGCTTAGGCTGGGTGCTTGAACTACTTTTCAGATGTTTTAAGCATTTGTTTTAAGTATACGGTGCACTTTAAACAGAGCTTACTTAAAAATGTGCTGAAATGTAATACGTTTTACAAAACATACCATCGCTGTCCCTCTGATGAACGGATGCATCGTTTTCAATGTAGCTGAATTTTCTGCATTTCTCAAGGGAAGCCAACGTTGATGTACTAGATTCTGACAATTTCCTCTCATTTTTGGCATCCTTTGAAGCGTCTGTGATGTTGAATTCAGATACCGAACTCATAATAATATCTTTCATAGGTTTCTCATCTTTATGTTTTTCACTTGTAAGCTGATTATCTGGAAGAGGTGAGAGAGTTCATGTTAGTTCGAAAGCCTCGCACCCAAACCAAAGGCATGTTCATAATTTACTAACCCAGTCCTAAAATGCCTTGTTCCGAGAAAATAATCCTGTAAGTGGTACCTATATGACAGCATGGGTTATTTATGTGCCATGGCTCCCAGTTTTGGTGCAAAAAAATCCAGATGGTCTTGTTTAAAACTTATTCCATGTTTCATGACTTCATTTTCATTTGTGCTGTTGGCCGGGAATCTGACTAGGAACTGGTGTGATTCATGAGCTGCAGTAATGTGAGACATAGCTCAAAATCTGAGGGAGGAGGGCAGTTATGCCTTCCCCAAAAGATCGTAACCTCTCCCTAACTGGTCTTGAAAATTAAGGAGTATTTGGCACTCCACCTATTTTTCAGGAACTTCTCAGGTATGGGAATCTATATAGTTTCATACCGATGTGATCAGTAGGGCAGGAAACCTTTAAAAAAAATAGCCAGTCTCAATGCTACTGGGCTGACATAACCTCATCAGCCTTTATCTCCTCCTGATTAACACTGGCACCACACGTCAAGCACAGCCATATTTTTTTATCTAACTTAAATCTCATGATACACTTCCTCTTAAGCTATATACAGAAAATCAATCTTTACAAACAGCTCAGTTTTGCAAACATTCAATTCTGAGAACAGCAGTAAGTGCTCTAAAGAGGCCAGGCTGCCTTCTGCTTAAAAAAAAACACGAAACCAAACCCCCCGTGTTTTTTTTTTTTTTTTTTTTTTTCCCCCCCCCCAGATGCATTTGCCCTGTACTGTATATTAAAGAGCAGCCAAGGGAAAGGGTGATAGATAGAGAAACCTTGATGATTATAGAGATTGCAGTAGCTATTTACTTACAGAATTAATTAACAATCAGTTTAAATTATCGCACATAGTCAGATTCCATGCAATTTAAATTGCCTTGATGTGAGGCAATTCGTAGAGACGAAAAAGTTGGATAGAGGTTAGTGAAGTATAAGAGCATGGGAAGAATATAAAGCTGAAAGGGCTATACGGTCTTCTTTTAAATGTGGAGTCATTGTTTTAGGAGTGTGTGTATATGTATATATGTGTGCATAATTTTTTATAGTGAATCTCACCTCATAAAAGAAAAATATATAATTTTTATTGTATACCTATCTATATAGATAGATCTCTCTCTCTTTTTTTCTTTTTCTTTTTTTCTTTTACGAGATGAGATTCACTATAAAAGGACCCTTGGGTGCAAACTGTTTCTGTACCCAGGATCCTCAACCTTATTGGTCAGCCGTTTTCTATGTAATCTGATTATTTATGTGGTGGGAGAGCTGGGAGCCTCAGGCCTGGTTCAAAGCTAACTGCTTTGGGCACTGTACAGACTCCGATCAAAAAGTCTCTGTCCCAATGCTCACACTCCAAGACGAGCCATAATAGCTGAATACCAACCGATGGCGGAGTCGAAGGAAACAGTGAAATGGGCGTGGGCGGTGCTCACTGATCAGCCACCAGTTAGTTGGCACACAGTTTTCTTGTAGGCATTACGACGGGCGGCAGTTTTCAAGAGGGACTAGGAGGAGGACTGAAATCGTTTTGCAGGTGATTATGGGGGCTTTTGCTGAGCACAAGAGGGAGCTTCAGAGGAAGCAAAAAGGTATTTATAAATGTAACGAGTTGCCAAAAGAAATGGCAGCATGACCGGCAGCATGGAGGTGGGATGTTGCTAGTTTACTAATATATTTGCTTATAGCCTTTATTTTTTCCTCATCTTTTCTGGCAGCTGCAGATGATTGAACCCATTCATTGCCCAGCCTGTGTGGCCTACAGCACTTGGCTATTACTATAATTCAGAAATGCTGGATGTAGTTACAGGTGCAGTAACTGGCAGTTTCCTTTTTTTCAACTCACAAATATCTCTGACCTTTATACTGGACCACACTGTGCTGTGCAGTATGTCCAAGAATCAGATCCTTGTAGGAGGCAACATAGTGTGAACATTTGGTTTTGAGAGATGCCTTGATTTCTGGGTGCAAAAGTAATTTATTCCCTCAGGCCAAATACTTGCATCTCCTGAGAGCAGCAGTTGTCAGCAGAGCTGTGTGCAGATCCAGAAGCCCATCCGGAGCATATTGCCTTGAATACTAGTACTTAAGTATGAATTTCAGCTTTTCTTATGTGCACACCCACTTGTTTGCGCTCACAGAGAATGTGCAATCACAGATCCTTTCAAAACTCGGCCCTAAAACCTAAGCAGAATTTTACTTTTAATAACCAAAATGTGTCAAGTGCTCCTTTTGCCCCATTATGTGGTGATACAAGGGCCCTCAGAGTAAGTTTAAGCATTCAACGGCATTTGACTGAAAAATCAGATGGAAACAATCAGCAAATGCCAGACGAACATTCCCTGCATCCACAGGCTTCTACTATTCATGCTTCAAGTCAAGTTTTATTCTTGAAGTGCTGTTGAAAAGAAATCAAAACTAGAAATATAAAGGCATAGATGCAACCTGAATTTCTCAATACAACACCATCAAGCAACAGGGTAACAAAAGCTGTCATTCAAGGACTCTTCTGTTTGTTAAAGCATGCTACAGCTTGGAAAATACAATGCATTTTTAGTGTCAGGTTCTTAGTTTGGAAAGCTCCCTTTAAGTAAGGTTATACATGTCTTGCACAGCTAGATCAAGTCCTGGTGCAACCACCTGAACAAGCAACTTGCTATGAGAAGCGAGATCCTTGCTTCCAGAAAACAGTACAGTAGAGGCTAAAGCAGTGCACAATTATAGGTCTCCATTTCATTTTTATGCAATTACCTTCAGTTCAGCTGTAGGTCCATCTGCATTATGTCCTTTATCAATTTAATGTTTGCACAAAGTGTCTAAAGAAATAATGATTATGCTAGGCCAGCATAAAAAAGTGGTTAGCATTTCTTTTTTATATAGTTTGATGCCATATAGATTGGTAATAGGTTTAGAGACTGGAAAAAATGTATGAAGCCAGATAGGCGTTAAAATAGATATTATATACAGTTGATATTATTTATGATCACTTTTAAATTTGAATGTAAAACAATTAAATGATAATTAGAGATGGACAGAAGGTCAAACTCTACTATGTCATGCTAAAAGCCCATGCACATAGCAAAACTACCGCATGCCCAGAAATGTCCTCTGATTTTAGCAGTCAAACCTCCTGAAGGGAATCAGGATGGGGAAAAAAGAAATGTATTGTGATGAAGAAATCTCTGGCTATTCCTTTTACCACCTCAAGTTATGCTGTTATAGACTGCTGTAGAGGGAAGGTGTGAGCCTTTCACAATAACATTCCTACGGAGCAACTTTCCTCTTAAACTCAGAAATTTAGTGCTTGGCTAATACTTACCAGCATTAAAGGGTTGGGATCTCTTAGACATTTTAATATTAAATCTGTTAATATTCTTCTAGTCACAAGAATGACCAGTCCTTTTAGAAATCGAGCTAAGTCCCTAGCACCATGTGGCAAAGAGTCCCACCGGTGAATGATATGGTACGTGAAAAACTCTCTATCAATTTGAAATGCATTGCCTTTTAATTTCATTGAGAGTTGCCTTGTACTTGTGGTAGGAGAAAAGGTATTAAAAAAAAAAAAAAAAAAAAAGCCTAATTGATCTCCTCTATGCCGTTCACTACTTCACATTCCTCTGTCATCATCTGTTTGTCTAATTTATCATGTGCCGATCACTCTAATAGCTAGCTGGCATGCCTGTTCACTCCCAAGATGAAGCAGGCAGGACTACATCAGACCTGAAGGAAGATAGTCTTGTATTTTTAATGGTTTGAACTTGGCTCCCTTGGTTTGAAAAGATTCACCATAAAAGTGAAGGCCAAACCGGAGTCTTTTGTTAGTAAGTAGAAATGTGAAACACTCGTACTCTTTTAATTGACTTTGTCCATCATCTCACCAGCCAAATATACGTGGTTTTTGCATGAAAGAGACAGCAGGAGGTAAAACTCAGGGACTCATTTAGCTTGGAGCTACTCAGTTTCTGAGGCTGAACCTTACCTGGATGGTCCACCGTGTTTGGGATTACAACGGGGAGAGCTGGGAGAGGCAGGGCGCTTGCGCAGCTGTCTTGGTGGAAAAAAACAAGAAGAGAGAGAGATGCCATGAACAAATGTGGTTCAGGAGAGAGACCCGTCAAGCCACTTAACAATAGTAATGTGTTTTAAAGGCTGTCCATTTGGGGTAACAAAAGACAAGCGTGGTTGCTGTGTGTATCAGGGGGGAGGGAGGGTTTACAAGGAAAGTGCAGACTGCTTTGATAGCCTGTGTTCCTTGTTAGGAAAGGAAGCAAAACCAAAATCCTAAGGAAAAGAGTTTAAATTGAGGAGTGAGGGTCAAGCATTGCAGGCAGCAAAAAGGGAGGTACACAAAGCTTGTGGGGCTGAGGTCAACAGGTTTGCAGTGAGGCCATCCTAACCATTGTCCATCCCCAGCATCACATACAAGAGGAACTTTATTCGAGATTTGGAAATGTTCAGCAAAAAAGGCTTTTAGGAGAGACAGGGCAGGCCCTACAATTCCTTGCTCAAGTCCCCGTCTCCACTTCTTACCTGCTGTGCCTACTTGTGGTTGTGGGGGGAGCAGACCCACGGGGGCCAATCTATGTGGGGGCTGGATCTTCATACTGGGAGGAGAAGCTGCTTTCCAGTGCAGGGAAGGGGCTGGCTAAGCGTTACCCCTCCCTTCCCTGCCCCAGGATCAGAGCCGGGAGATGAGGCAGTCTTGTCCTTATTCTCTTTAAAAACTTACAGTGCTGTGGCCTGAAAGCAGTCCCTGTTACCTCACTGACCCTGGTTAGGGGCCAAACTTTAACTGAATTGTTATGAAATATTTAAAGGAAGTCTAGGAGAGTGAGAATGGCTCTAAAGCTGACTGGTAAAGCACGGTATGTTCACAG